GTGCGGTGGTGCCGTTTCGGGGTGCCCGCCGCCGCTCGGCCGGGGAGGCGGGGGGGAGGAGTGGCGATATCGCAGGGCCCCGGGAGAAGCTGCGACGGGGGTGGCGCGGGGCTGCTCCGCTTTGACCCAAGCGATGTCTTTTGTGACATAACGTGTCTCTCTTTAGTCTCCTAAGAAGGTTGGTGATGACATTGCCAAGGCCACGGGTGACTGGAAGGGGCTGAGGATCACGGTGAAGCTCACCATCCAGAACAGGCAAGCTCAGGTACTGAACGCCAGAAGGGATGGCTCCGTGGTGCAAGCGTCCGGCACAAATGAGCTCCGCTTGCTCGAACCACAAGCTTAAATCCCGGCAGGGTCGACTCAGCCCTTCATCCTTCCGAGGTGGATAAAATGAGTTCCACACAGCAAACTGTGTGGGGGTCTTCTGGGAAAGACCTTAAAACGCCTGCGTGAGCGTTCTGAGTGCCTCTGGCTCCGATCCGGCAGCAGGGTGCGGGGGGGTGTGTGAAGCCTGGGGCTTGCCAGGCTGTGAGCATAGGGAAGAGATCTGCCTGCGTGCAGAAGTTGCTCTTTTATCCAGTTGCAGATAAATTCTTCCTTCTACAGAGCATCTGACCAGGAAAAAACTATTTCAAGCAACATAGAAGTTACAAAAAACCCTCTTTCCTTAGTCCTGTAGCCACCTGCCACTATACCTGTCCTGAATTCCGTGGCTGGTATGTTCCAGTGGTGAGCTGAGAGGAAGCCCCAGTCTAGGAAGCAGTCCTCTTCTGGCTGTGGGGAGGCCTGTGCCGAAAGGCTGGGAACAAGTTTGTCGTCACAAAAAAACCCTTATCTACTAGTGAACTAAGCAAAACCGCGGTGCTCTGGCACCAGCTTTCCTGGCGCCAACTGCTTCGTTGAGTATTTTCATTGGCTGCCTAATTCTGCTTGGAGGGGGGGAAAAATAATCTCTTTTCGTTTAGATTGAGGTTGTTCCCTCTGCCTCTGCTCTGATTATCAAAGCTCTGAAGGAGCCTCCTCGTGACAGAAAGAAGCAGAAAAACAGTAAGTGTTCATCTGGCTTTAGTTCTGAATGGGGTTTGGTGCTAAGAGGGGGATAGGTACCGGCCTCTCAGATTACCCAGCATAAACTCGCAAAAAAAGTGCCATGGGGCTGTGTGTCAGGCAGCGGGAATTCCTTAAATGTCAGGGAACGGACAACGGTGCCTATGCCAGCAGAGTTCAGTTTCTGGAAGATGGGGTAGAACGGCCACCCGCCACTGTGCCTGTCGTGTCACGCGTTGACTGGTACGGCCCAGAGGTGAGCTGACAGCAAATGCCAACTTAGGAAACAGAGTTATTCTTCTTGTGGGTAACTTTGTGCCGAAGTCTGGGGACAGGCGTGTGCTGATCGCCGCCCCGCGGTAGTTGTAAACTCTCTGGTTTCCGTGCAGTCTGAGCACGGGGAATGGTGCTTCTCTGGGGAAGCGCGGGGGACTGGAAGTGCCTTGTGTTTACAGGAGCTTACTGGTGCTATCGCTTTGCTTCACAGTTAAGCACAGCGGCAGCGTCACCTTCGATGAGATAGTGAACATCGCGCGGCAGATGCGGCACAGGTCCCTGGCGCGAGAGCTCTCGGGTAAGTACCGGCGTCGGGCTCGCGCCGAGTCCTCCCTCTGCTTGCTCCCAGTGCCCGAGCCAGCTTCTGGGCTGATTCCTGGGAGCGCCTCGTAACCGGTGTGGTGACGGAGCTCCTCACGCGGCTTGGCCGTGCGGGAACAGCCTTGCGCTGGCTGGGTGAGCCAGCCTCATGCCTCCTGGTGAGGGTAGCGCAGGATGGCGGAAGGTGCGTGGCACCAGCTGTGGTGCTTCCTGGTGCATTTGGTATGCCGGGTGTGGCTGAAGGGGCTCGCTGTCCCTCCTCGTCCCCACGGCTGCAGCCCGCAAACCCCAGGAATGGAGTTCTTTGAGTTTTCTCAAAAACTTCTCTGAGTTCTTTGAGTTTTCTCAAACTCCTCTGAGTTTCTCCTGTGGTGAAGCGCTGACGAGCTCTATCTTCCCACCGCAGGGACAATCAAGGAGATTCTTGGAACTGCCCAGTCTGTGGGCTGCAGCATTGATGGCAGGCACCCACATGACATCATTGATGACATCAATAACGGTGCAATTGAGTGTCCAGCTGTAAGTATCCATCTCTGACTGAAGCTGCGGTATCAGAGAGCCTTTTAGTCAATAGCCTACTAATGAGCTGTGTTTGCGTCTTTCAACAGAGCTAAGACTGCAGAAAAGAAGTTGCCGTATGAAGGCTTCTTACGTTTTTTGTAGCACCTTAAATACTTAATAAAAGACCCAGCTGTCTGCAAACAGTGCTGCTGCCTTAATTTGTCCTTGTCCCATGCCGCACCAACAGCGGGGTTTGGCAGGGGACCGCCTGCGCTCTGCGTCAGCTGAGGTGACGGTTCTTAGGCAGACTCCAAAGCGAGAAGGTGCTCGTTTGCCCTGAAATCATTTGATTGTGGCAACACAGCTCAGAGAAGCGGAGTTGCCTCGAGTGAGTGCTCCAGTAAAGAGCAAACGTCACAAACTTGCGGCCTGTGTAGAGCTTTCTGCGAGCTCTGGTCTTGCCGGTGCCACATGCACAGCTCAGAGCAGCCCGTGTTGCCCTTCCTTAGGGCAAGTGCTGCCGTAACTGGTCCAGCTTCCCCCGAACCACCGCAGCCAGGACACAAGCGCGTGCCGAGGCTTGACAACAGCTTTGCAGGCTGCCTGCCTCGTGCTCGAGGAGCTGCGTGTGCTTGCGGGATGGAAGGGCTCTGACTGGTTGAAGTGAAATTCAAGGTGTGACTGTTCAGTTGGCGCTCCCGGGGACAGCCGGAGCCGGGGGAGAACGGCTTCATGTCCCCGGCAGTGCGTAGCTTGGCCTTGCCGCCAGCCTGCCGTTCCCGGGAGGAGCCTCGTCCTTGGTGGCTCGGCGGGTTTTCTGTTGTAGGACAGATCGGATTCTGCACTTGGCTTTCTTCCTGCCTTGAAGCAGAGGAGATGCTGGGTTTTCTCCTGCTGACCAGGAGAAGTACGCACACTCTTAGTTTTTTGAGCTGAATTTCTTTTGTGCTCATTTTCCATCCCTGACAGAGGAGCGAGTCCCTTGGTGCTGGGGAAATCCTGTGGTCCTCTGCTTCAGAGTTGTAAGGGGCCCGGTCTCGTGTTTCTTGGGTCTCCTGAATCCTTGAATGACGACGCTGGGGGAGCGGGGTGAGCAGGTTCCGTAGCCCCTCTCTACGTCGTATGCTCCAGCTCCTGGTACGCTCTCTGAAAGAAAAAGCAGCAGTTTAAGCGTTGGGATTTCCCTTTGTACGGGCATTCTGTGAATCAAGTGTTACTGCTCGTCAAGAAACGGAGCCTAAAACCTGGCAGAGCCACACAATTTGTGTTCAGCAGTGAATATTCAGCCGTTTCTGCCAGGAACGGCGCCCTGCGGGAGCGCCAGCTTAACCTGCTGCTGGGGAGCTGCTGCTCAAAGACAAAAGGAGTTTGCCCTGCTGATAGCATCTTCCCGAAGGAAAGGCAGCTTGCTTGCTCCGGGTGGAAAACCTGTCAGTAAGGGGTGTGTGTGTGCGCCTGTTATGGTATGGACTGGGACAGGGATGTAAGTATTGAAAGCGCGGTGAGGAAAGAGCGAAAGGGTCAGCCTTGCTTATTCAAAACGAGCTTTTTTGGCAAAACCTGAGGGCCTTGCAGCACCCTCTCGGGGATCTCGCCCCGTGAGGATGTGAGGAGCCCCAGCGCGGCTGTAGCACGTTTGCCTGTTTAACCTCTGGGGAGGCTCCTGTATTTCAGGCACAGCGTTTGAGAGCTGGTTCTGGCCCCCGAAGGCTCTGCCCGGCTGTCACAGCTGGGGGTGGGCAGAACAACAATTTTCCAAAGATCCTGAGGAAACCTTGTGCTGTTTCCGCAAAGGCTGGGTTTTCCCTGGGGGCGGCACAGTGCAAGGGCTGATGGAAAGCTCTCTCGGAAGTGAAGTGAAATTATCCTGGTAATAATGCTTTAGCTGACTCGGAGGTGTTACTAAAAGCCCTATTAACAGCAGCATTATGATTGCTGTTCAGCCCTAGCAGAGCGGCCTGGAGGAAAAAAAGTCACAAATGTTAATTTAGGTCCGTTTTTCCAAAGGGAAAGGGGATCAAATTCTTCCTGAGGTGCTGAGCTGTATGAGCCTTGGTCTCAGACAAACGTTCTGCAAGGTACGTCTTCCTCCTCTGCAAAGTGGTGACGGCACTCGATCCGCTTTTTTCTTGCCAGTCTCTTCAGTTTTGCAAAAAAACTCTCAAAAGTTATTTTTGTAGGGCACTTACAGCCCCAGAGGAAAACTTCCTGGCTGGAGCTCTGCTAGGCAAGCAGGACTCTAACGCAGCGTACATTGCAAGAACTGGGGGAGGAAAAAAGTAGTTCTGTTACTTCTAGGGTTGCGTAGGAGAGAGTACGGTGTGTGTGCTCGCTGGGCTGCTGAAATTTGGGGAATGGGGTCTGGGTTATTTACCGGGGTCTGCCCGAGTCCTTTGCAGGACGCAGGCAGCGCAGCGGGGTGTGCAGGTGGCTGCAGTGGGGAATTGCCTGCTGCTGTGTCGGCCGTGCCAGGCGCTGAGTGAGCTGCAGCCTCTGTAAAGAGGAAAACTCAAGAAATTCCACCCCAAACTGAGTGGGAGGCGGTGAGCACCTGTAGCAATGCTTATTTCTAAAGTATATGCGAGTAATGGGTTATTTTTCCAGTGCACAAAGCGCTCTGCAATTCCTACGCAGCTGTAGTCGAAGGCTACTTGGATGCAGAGCAATTGTGAGCTGGTTTGGTGAAACGAAACCTTTGCGTTGACTCTGGCTTAAGCCAGGAGCGTGGCTTGGGCTGAGTCTTCAGTGCTGCCTCTCGGCACACGGCAGAGCCGTGCCCTAGGAATGCATCTCGCACCGCGTGTGAAGCATAAAATGCGGTGTTAGGAGTCGGATCTTCAGAAATCACCCGGATCTGCGCCTGATCGAACAACAAACTGATTTCCTATCTGCTCTGCTGCTGCTAAAGCACCTCCTGGGGAAGCAGGTAAAACTTCATGGAGACGGGTGCTGGGAAAGGAGAAGTCTCCTGGCCTGTCCTCGCGGGATCCAAAACGCCGGGTCGGCATCAAGGCCCAGCCAAAAGGAACTGCAAATCGTGTTTGTTTCCTACCATGGTCCCGCTGTCTGAGCGGGGTGAGCGATGGCCGGAGGGGACGTGCAGGTGCAGGAGCCCGGGCTGACCGGTGCGTTTGCGATTTCTGGGAAGGTCCACTTTTGTCCTTTGTTCCCTGATGAAATGCAGGTATGTTGCTCCGGTGACTTGGGGGTCACGGAGATTGAAGACTGGCTGTAGTGAAACAGGAAAAGCATGACAAAAAAAAATAAGCTTTTATCGGATGTAAGAGCCATGGCAGGCACCAGTTTTGCAGTCCGTCCCGAGCCGTGACTGTCAGTGTGGAGGGAGGAGCTGGACCCTCACTCCTAAAGCAAAAGTGACCAAAGCCTGACCCAGGCGTCCCCAGAAATCGCGGTTCCCACAGAACCTGCGAGGTTTTGCCCACAAACTGTTGGGGGCTGCCCGTTCCTTTCTGGCACAGGCTGCATCTCGGCAGCGTGGCCCACGGCGCAGGCCCTTGCTGGCCTCCCGGCTCCCCGCCCGCCCCAGGCTCTGCCCGCAGGCAGCGCAGGATTTTGCGCAGCCCCTTCAGCTGACAGGCAGAAAGCAGCGGGGTGTGTGGCTTTGCTCGTTCGTTTGCTTTTTCTCCTGCTGTTTGTAGGGCCTTTTTCTGAGGCAACCAGGGACTAAACCAGAAACAAGGCTGAAATCCCAGGCACTCGCCATCTTTAAAGCCTTGGCTTGGAGTTGACTGTGTTTCGAGCTAGGAACGGAGCTTGGGTGCTCTCTGAACCAGGGTCAGGAGTGGAGCCTCGTGCTCTGTAACCTGGCATCTTCCCCACCTCTCAAAGGACATGAGGCGCAACAAATTCTGATAAGGTATAGGAGGAAAAAATCTACGCAGAGCTTTGCTACACAAAGCTCCGCCTGACGCTGTCCTGGGCAAGCCGGCCTGGCTGCGTCTTGGGCGGACGGTCGGGTCCCTTCCAGCTGAAGTTACGCAGCGGTTCCACGACAAAGCTGCACGAATGCTTACGTTGCCTGAGGTGGGACAGCCTGGCAGAGGACTGCAGCACCCCCTTCAGCTGCACTTCTAGTTTAAAGAGGTTTAAAGTGTTTGTTGACCCTGGCGTTGATCCCCCAGTTTGGTGTGAACCCCGGGAGTCTCGGGAGCCGTCAGCCTCGTGGGTGCCCAGGGCTGTCCTGTGTACCAGCACACACACACACACACACACACACACACGTACACACATACACCATGGGTTTTCCCCCACTTGGCAGTGCTGGAAATAATTGGAAAAAGGATTTCTTTTGCTTAAGGGGAATTCCCTCGGGGCAGGATACATAACCTTTCCCATGCTACCTTAGGGCACGTGCTCTGGTAGAAGCAACGCCGTGCTTGGTGCTACCCTGCCGATAACTCATTTTCCAAACCGGGCTTCTTAGAAAGGAGGCAAAGGGCTTGTTAAAGACAGTAACAACCTACGTTAACTTCACATTTAAAATCCATCTTCTGCGTAACTGCGTGTGTGCTCCAAAGCCAGGATTTTGTCCCGCTCTGGTGACGTGCACCTGCAGGAGAAATGAGGGAAAGGGACATGGAGAAGCGCTGAGCCCTTCCCATGAGACCTTCACGCCGGTGGCCTAAGAGATTTGTATGCTTTAAGGAGAATTAGCTTCCTCATAGCCCTGAGATGAAACGGGCCCTGAAAAGCCAAATCTTTCGGGTCCTTGTCTTCCTGTGTTACAAAACGTTAGGATAGAAAAACCTGAATTTTGTTACAGCTTGGTGCAGGGTGTGGAAGGCCCATGGGGTCAGCTTCCCCCACACGCCTACGACGCGTGCCGTGACGGTGGATGCGGTAAAGTGAAGCGCTATTTACTGTCGGCCCAGCGGGGAAGGACGGGCCGAGTCCCGCATCGCCCCGCAGGTGGGGGCCGTCGGTGGGCGCTCGCGGGGGTGTGGGTCCCATCCAAGCTCGCGAGCAGCACGGCGGGGTGCGAACCATTCGCTAACAGGGCTCCTCACGGCTCTGCGCCGGGGCGTGGAGCGTGGCTGTGCCCCGGGGGCCCTGCGCTGGCTCTTGCTAGCACCCAGCCCCGTGCCGTGGTGCTCAGCCGGCTGCTGAATGCGTCCGTCCCCGCGAGCAGAAGACCTCAGCGCTGGGGAGATGCCCTGCTCTTCACAGGGGAGGTGGTC